AAGCTAGCTTGGGCCTGGTTTGCAGATAATGCTAAGCCAAATTAACATAGTAAACAATACCATAATCACAGGTGTCCCCACAGATGATCGGGCAAACATTGGCTTGTTTCCCCTCTGCCTCCTTGCCTGCTTTGTGCTCTACCTGATAGCCTGAGAAAATGTCTACTGGCATTGCCCAGCTGTGACACCATGCTTCCTTCCATTGGCTGGCTGGAGTGGAAATCTTACTCCATTAAAATCCTTGGCAGTGTAGTTGGTTAACCTTTTCCTTCCACTGCTTTGCTTTATTCCCCTACTCACCAGTCACCCATAGTGTTGCTCTGTCACATAATTCTGTTGCACCTACCTTGGTTAGGACAAATCCTGCCCTCCTTCCTCAAGGAATGAAATGTATCTGAGTGAAAAGACAAAGTTTAACATTTTTGCAAATACTCTTGGACTGGAGTTAGAGAAGAGGGACTAGTTTTCTTTCACAGGCAAGATTCCATGAACTGGACACTTGTCCTCTGGAAGGAAGAATAGGACTTTGTATGTGTGCTGGTGGGTTTTGGTCCAAAGGGAAATCATTGAGTTGCTGCTGCTGGCATTACTTCACCTATCTCATCATTTCCAATGTAGCCTGAAGTGTCCCTCCTCCCCTTTTCCTGTTTAAAATTGGGACTTTCTGATATGCTTAGAATATATCCAAGCAGTAAGCCCCACTAAACTTACTGGAGTTTACTTCTGAGTAGACATGTATAGTAATTTAGATAGGAAACCATGGAATCATAGAAGCAGAGAAGAAAGAAAATTAACTGGGGGAGGGGAAGAGTATCCACAAAATGGCTGCTTGTGGACAGAATCTTAAGATAAATTTATCTATTATTTATTAAATTTGTATACTGCCCTATACCCACAGGTCTCAGGGCGGTTCACAGGATAAAAACAGAATATAACATCACAAAATGCATAATCAAAACAAAACAACCCAAGGGAATTTTTCCTATGGTAGTTTTCTTTCAAAATAATTTTAAAAGCCCCACGCTCACTCGTGCAGGCATGACTTTAGAATGTTAGCAACAGGCTTTTAAGCTTTGTAAACAGTAGACAATGAGTGAAGTGCAGAAAGCTGGTCATAATGAGAAATAAACACTGTTTAAATTTTTATCTCCACTCCACAACTCTTCTGTGAAGTCATGGTGGGTCAGAGCAGACAAATTTCTGTTAAGGAATGCAATTTTATTAATAGTTGCCATAACACAAGTTGCCTTAAGAAATCTGGAGGTAGAAGAATTGTTTGGGGGGAAAGGACAATGTTACCAGGGAGATCTAGCAGTGACTTCATTTATACTCTTACTACTGTCTCTGTACCTTTATGTGGAACAAACAACCACACTTAAACCATAGTCAAAAAATTGTCCTGGTTCACATCTCTAAACTAGAGATGCAGAACTGGATGTAGCTGGCAGGTTGGCTCCTCAATTCTCCCACTTCTCATGTGCCAGCTTTGACAGGTAAGTGGGACCAGTTACAGCAAACCCTTTTGAAGTCCCATTTGCTGGCAAAGTTTGCATTCATGCTGCATCTACACATGGACATTTCTCCTCTGGAGACATCAGGTATGGTTTGAATCCAAGTAGTTCTGCAGATCTCTTGGAGCTGTCAGTGAGCCCCATTTGCAAAGGAACAATTGGAGCCACATACTTTCCTTATACTGGACATAGCATATGATTTCAGTTGTGGGACAAATAGACATGGTTAGGAGGAAATGGCGTAGAATCTGGACACACTGGGCCTAATCGGCTCATGGGCCAGAGATTTCTCATCCTTGCTCTAAAACATAGTTAATGTCAGGTGGCCAACCATGGCTTATTTTATTTGAGGAACTGGGTCAAGTTCACACATAATACTAAACCATGAACTAATATGTGTGAACCAGGTCATTCTCTAACAGAAATATAGTACATACTTTATTGAAATATCAAATTGCTGAAGAGTACAGTATGTTGAACATTTGAATTTCATTTTGTATGAAGGTGCTCCAAAGGTGGAGCAGGTTCTTGCAGGCGCATTTTTAGTGGGTGTCTAGGGCTACTTTCTAGCTTGAGTTGGGTGAAACAGGTTTTGAAACTGAAAGTCCATAGTCAATAAAAAGATGCTGTAATTGCTTAGTTGTAGGCACTATCATTTGTTTCCTTTGTTGTGTGTCCAAAATGGTTTTGCATAAATAGATGCACGAAGCCTAACATTTGGCAGTTGAGGCTTGTAGCATTTAAAACCTACTCCCCCCCCCAAAAAAAACCCCACTGATGTTTAAAAGGCTTTTGATCTTTCGATTAAAAAAAAATCCAAGTATTTTTTCATGATGGAAGGTATGTATGTGTGTGGGCACACACACACACCCTTCATCATGAAAAAATACTTGGATTTTATTTTTTTTTAATCGAAAGATACATGTGTACTTACAGGTGGTGACCATTTTAGGTAAAGGTAAAGGGACTCCTGACAATTAAGTCCAGTCGCGAACGATTCTGGGGTTGTGGCGCTCATCTCGCTTTACAGGCCAAGGGAGCCGGCGTTTGTCCGCAGACAGTTTTTCCCGGTCATGTGGCCAGCATGACTAAGCCGCTTCTGGCGAAACCAGAGTAGCGCACGGAAATGCCGTTTACCTTCCCGCTGGAGCGGTACCTATTTATCTACTTGTACTGCATGCTTTCGAATTGCTATGCTGGCAGGAGCTGGGACCGCACAACGGGTGCTCACCCCGTCACGGGGATTCGAACCGCCAACTTTTCGATTGGTAACCCCAAGTGGCACAGTGGTTTAACCCACAGCGCCACCCGCGTCCTGGTGACCATTTTAGGCATGTCCAAATGACATGTGATCACCAACACATGGGTCCTTTGGTACCCAGAAGAAGGCAGAACAGAAGCAGTGTGTGCTTATATGTGCTCTGCTGACATGTATGGGGGGGCCAGGAACAGAACCAAGGTTTCCTGCCTGTATTTCTGTGCTTAAAGCTGTTTTAGGTTTAAGTAGATTGAGCTGATGCAGACTCAATATGCTTGTGTGAACGATAGTGTGTTTAAGACCTTTAGTCTAGGCAATTCAGTTGCTGAACGAAAACCAAGAAGGAAGTATTCTTTATAGTGGCACATGAAGAAAACTGGTGTTGCACAGTAAGTTCCTGGTTCATTTCACTTCAGCTGTGAGCTTGCTAGGTGTCTTCATTATCTACTGTTTTCTTGCCCCCATCTTCACTATGGTGTAACTACAGACCTACTTTGCAAGGCTATTTGTAAGATTTACCAAATTCATATCTGGAGTGCTTTGAACTCTTGGCATATGGCAGGGGTGTGAAACCTCTAGCTTGTGTACATTATTAGACCTAGTGTTTGACCTGCAAGGCTGGCTGCCATAGCCAGCTGCCTGACACCTGAAGTACTGTGTGATGTCATGGATAGGGTAGGCAAGGACATGGCTCCAAGTGAGCTATTGGAAGCTTAAAGTGGGCTTCCAATTGTTTATTTGCAAGCGGGACATGCTGACAGTGTTGATCAGGTGATGTGCCCCACTGGGATTAGCCAAGAAGGCACAGTGCTTTACAAGTGCCAACAATCAACTGATCATTGGTGCTTGAGAAATGTTGTGCCTTGCCTGCAGTGGCTTGATTTCAAACTGCATGGGCAAAAAGGAAAAGGAGCCATGTGATGTCAGATGATTGATAGATGGTCAGCACTGCCCATCTGTCAAAGCAAACCTGCTGAGGGGTTGCAGAATAGGGGAGGTAGGAATCTGGCCTTCCAGCCAGATCCAGTTCTTTCACCACAACCAATAGTTTACAAACACTATGTGACATTATTTTTACAATGAAAGCTTTTAACATGAGTTAGAATCTTGCAGGAGTAAAAGAAATTAAGCCTTGAATATATAAATATGAAGGAATGTGGTATAGTTGATTTTTTATTTGATTTGCACAGGAGAGCCCTTGGTTTAAGCCATTGCTAAGCATTGTTCACCTTCGGTCAGTTACTATTGCTCAGCCTGACATATTCTGTAGGGTTGTGGAGGAAAAATGTGAATTTTTAAAAATGATTTTTAATTTCAAGTAACTAAACAAGGAATGCAGAGCTTAGTAGTTATGCAGAAATGAAAGAAAAATAGAGGCTGATGGTTGTAGTTTTAGATGTCCCAAGAAAGGCGATCAAATGAAAGTGTTTCTTCATAAGGTTCCATGAGTCGATTGTCTTAACAAAGTCAATAAAGGGATAACTTGTCATATAGAAGGTGTGAGTTTTCCTCCCCCACCCCCCAGTCAATATTCCTTTTGTGAAATGGTTAATCTGACCAGAAGCACAATACCTGTGAAATCCAGGCTTCAAAAAGATTGGCATTTAAAGTTTTCCAAGTTTTTTGCAGTCACTAATCTAGCTGCAGTTAATAAATGGAGAATCAGATTTTTATTGGTTATGTTCTTAATCCAAGGAGAAAAATTATTGTAGGGCTGTAGCTATTGTCCCATCATTTGGTTGTTTGAAAAACTTTTCCCCGAAAGGGAATAATTTTGGGGCAAAACCACATGTGTGTACTAGAGACAGATAAATTGCATTCCTGCTAGCAAAGGTCGGATGTGTTATGATTAATTCTCTATAATCTGGCTGGGCACATCTACTAGTGATGTGCTATCTTTAAAGCATTTTCTCAAGTTCTAATTGAGATTGATCCAAATGGCAGTTTATTACAAATGTGTTCCCAGAATTGTTCCTCTGTTCTCCAAAATCTTTTCCCCATTTTAGTCTTAATGAAGTGAGAAGAAGGGTAGCCAATTGTGTGAGGCTTTTATATAGTTGGAAAAATGTGAAATACTTTTTGGGGAAAAAACCTGTTTATGCTTCTAGGCTTGCTGCATAGTTAATTAGATAAGAAAAGTGATATTGTGCCAGCATTGAAAAGAGCTAACTTTTATATGAAATTTATTCTCAGTGTTCTAAACCATTTCTTTTGTCTTTTCCTTTCCCTAGATTTTGGATCCCTGTTTGATCTGGAACATGACTTACCAGATGAACTGATCAGCTCCACAGAATTGGGACTTACCAATGGTGGTGACATTAATCAGCTGCAGACTAGTCTTGGTATGGCACAAGATGCTGCTTCAAAACACAAACAGTTGTCTGAACTGTTACGTGCTGGTAGCTCACCAAACCTTAATATGGGAGTTGGTGGGCCAGGTCAGGGCATGGCCAGCCAGCCCCAGCAGAACAATCCAGGAATGGGAATCTTAAACAGTATGGTCAAAAGCCCCATGGCACAGGCAGCATTGACATCTCCAAATTTGGGGATGGGTGCAAGTGGGCCAAATCAAGGTCCGTCTACTCAACCCACTGCAGGAATGATGCCAGCAGTGAACAATCCGGTAAATCAGCCTGGAATGGGAATGAATGCAGGAATAAATGCTGGCATGAATCCTGGTATGTTGGCTTCAGGAAATGGACAAGGCATGATGCAGGGGCAAGTTTTGAATGGTTCGATTGGAGCAGGAAGAGGACGTTCCAACATGTCATACTCAAACCCAGGAATGGGTAATGCTGGTAACTTGTTGGCTGAGACATTGCAGCAAGGTTCTCAGCAGATGGGAGGACAGACAGGCTTGAGGGGTCCACAGCCTGGAGCAATGGGCAAGGTAAGACAAAGTTTTTCTTGTGATCACAAATAAAGTTTTTGAAGTATAATATTTCAAAATACCTGAGCATTTCCAGAAAACAGGCTTGTTCACTGCAATTATGAACGATACCTGGGAATAATTAAGCATATTAATACATCATAAGGAGGCATGTAGCATTATATGAAAAGTTGTATTTCTAAAAAAACCTCATAGTCTTTGTGTCCAGTTACAGTATTGCCATTCAAAATGATGTATTGAGTTTATAGCTTTCAATAGTACCTATGATTGGTGTATTAGTTCTTCAATTGCAGAATCCTACAGGTGGTGTTGATACTGAAGATGAATTTTTCCCTAGTATTAAAACTACTGGGAAGACTAATATTGCTATTCTTCAGTGAAACATTGCTATAACTGTGGGTGGGGTGGGAATATATGTGCATGCAATATTTTCCTTGATTTGTTAAGTAGTGGGTAGGTTTATCACAACTGTTACCCATGATTGATAACTTCAACCTCCAGGTGCAGCATTTCTGAGTACAGATGCTGGTGCCAAACAATGAAGGAGAGTTTGCATGGTGGTTGTAGATATTTTGTAGTCACTTTTACAAATTAGATGGTAGACCTGTAGGTTTGCTCCAGCAGGACTTCTCATATCTCAGTACTTGGGGAAAACAGTACTGTGAGTGTAATAATGCACCAAGAACAGTATCTTCACTAATTAGAATGAATAACCTAGTGCTTTGTAAATGGTGGAGCAGAAAAATGCTGTACATTTCATTACTAATCATGTAGCTTTGATGTAACCTCTGCATGTAGTTGTTTACTACTTCAGGGGAAAGGATAGGAAACAGCTTTTCTCTTACTTATTTTAGTACAGTGTTTAGATTAAGCATCTAAAATGAGTCCTCAATAGGTACTTGCCTAGTAGGTGCTTGTCCTGTGGGAAATATGTAGCAAACTGCCAGGTTGCTCTCATTGAGTGGTAGCCAGTGAGAGTTAACACATGATTGTACAGAGCAGCAAATAGAGGACTTGGGTGCTTTATGTAAAATGGGTGAGGAACTATATCTAGCTGGTGGGCTGTACCCTGGTTTCTCCTGCCGATGGTGGGCCATTTTGACAGGTAGGTGAGCCTCTGCTCACCTGGAAATTACTCTATGTCACTGTGATGGCAGTTGACACATTTTTACTTGGTAGTGCTACAAAGGAAATTCTAGTTCATTCAAGCCTGACTTGGAAGTTACCATCAAGCTGCTGATACAGGCCAACTTCACGCTCTACTTTGAGCAGGGATTTAGTGCATTATGGAGTACTGTATGGGGAACTCCATGGTTCAGCTGATCCCAGCAGGGCTGCTGTCACTGCCAAAACCAGCTGATCAGCAGTGATAGCAAGTCTCCCTTGCCAATGAACAATTGGGAGTATACTTTAAGGCTCCCAGTAGATCATGACTGCATTGCACAATCTGCTCCATACCTGATATCACATGACATCAGTTGTGGGGTAGGTGGGTGTGGTTTTGGGAAAGCAGCCTCACAAGCCAAATTGGGAACAGTGCTAGGTCTAAGTAGGCCCACAAACCAGAGGGTCCTCATGCCTGGTGATAGATGTAGTCAGAAACATATGAAGGGCACACGTTGGTGAGGATTTCTTTAGTAGAATAGATCTATGCAGTCTTTGCATATAATACCCTTTAACCTGTCTTTTGAAAACTCATTTGCTCTAATGACTAAACATAACAATGTGTTCAGTCTCCATAGTGTGGCCCTCACTGGCAGGTTTACTACTTAGATGCAGACTGGGTTTGCAAGTTGCTTGGCTGATGAGCTTGCTTGATCAGTCAACCTGCTTGCCTTACAGTTCCATCTTTGTGAGCTATTTAGCTTGTCAAAGAGTGAAGCTTGTAAAGGGGATATAGCAAATTCTGATCTTTGGTTCCTAAGGTCTGCAGAATCTCAGTTGATAGTTCAGACATAAGTCTTGTAAGCAGACTTTAAAGGCAATAACTAGCTCTAAAGTAACAAAGTAGAACAAAGATTTTAAAGTTTGGATGTATATAGGTGCAGCGACAAGATAAGAATAACATTTTATTTTTAGAAAGCTTGTTTTTTTATGGGGAGAATGGACTTCACACTGTCAGTAGCGAGGAAATGGAAGTGTGTGACCAAAAAATTAGTACAGTATGGTGTTCTTTGTTTTTAACTCAGGCAGTGGGAAGGCATGAGAGGCTGGGCTTTAGCAATGAAATGCAACTACTATTGTAGGTGCAGTTGGCTACACACATATTCAAGTGACAAAATATGAATTTCAAATTATCAAAAGTAGTGCCAGATTTTATAGTGAGATGAAATCTGGAATTTCAGAAAAATATGTAGCATCACTGCTTAGCATAACTTGAAACAACACCGTCTTATAATATAAAATAAATTTGCCATTGTAAATGTAACACCCCCCTACAAAAATACTTAATGATCCATGTTTTATCAACATGTTTGATTTCTTGTATATTTGGCTGATCAGTTGAACAGTGTCTTAACCCTGAAAGAGAATGCAAGTGTTTGATTCAGTCTGAGAACTTACTGGAATCTAAATTGAAGAGTAGAGGAATCCTGGCCCCAGATGCAGGGAATTAATCAACATTTTTTGTAGTTGAATTTTTGAAGCAAAAACATTTTTTGCTTGACATGAGAGAGCTTGTTGCTATTGAGGAATGTTTTTGTGACAGGACTGCTACATTACTGTACTTCCATCGCTATTTCTGTGCTTGAGATGGCAGCTTTTTTAAAATAAAGTGAATGAGTTGGACACACCCACTGCAGAATGCTTCGCTGCCAGTGACTACTGTAGGTACATGTTCACATTTGGAAGTTGGGGAAGTAGAATCACTTCAATTTTGTCTACTAGTGAATGTTTTGGTTTACATGGGAAATGATTTTAGCAAGGTATATGTGAATGAGGTGGACAGTGATGCTTGGAAAAGGGAAGTCTTGCAGTCATTGCTGATTTTGGTGGCATCTTGATAGAAGTTGTGGAAGCACTATCTCAGAAACAGGGTTAACATGTGGAGTAAAGAACAAATACGACAGTGACAAGGCCCTACAATTTGCTGGCCATGGCCTCTCCCTAGCAAGCATCTTTCACCCCACCTGCTCAGCTGGGCAGGGGAGCATGCATGCTTGGGAGCTGCAGCTCAAAGGAAGTGGCATCCAACAACCTTCTCGGCTTCACTGATGTGGTCCAAAGGAAAGGAAAGTTTGGTTGCAGGAGTTGCTGGAAGGAGGTATACAGGGCACCATCCAACCGTCTTAGGGACTCCATTTTGGATTGCGTAGGGTTTACTCCTTAGCCTTTTCTTCACCTGAACATGTCCCACAAAGTAGCGGGTATGGATTTTTTCTCAGGGTTTACTGGTCAGTTCACCTCCTGTTATATGACTCAGGCTGGGAACAGGTTGTGTTCTATCTCTAAGAGCTACTGAAGTAAAGATACATTGTGCCACCTTCTGATCTCCACTATAATGATAACTCCCGTTTAATATTACTACTTTGGGGAAGGGTTGCTATTTATGTATTGCCCTTAAAAATAACGTGTATTCTGTGGCTTCCAAGATAAAAACTGTAACACCTCTTTCAACATGGATTTCCTGGAAAAATTTCCGAGAGTGATCTAGTTTGCCATATTTTCTTGTATTTAATAAACAAAACTAAAATATTTGAAACTATCAAGCTTGCTTAATATTTGCATTTGGCATCTTTTAATTTTTGCTAATGAACTTATAAAACAGAAAAATTTTCATGGAAAAATAAAGCTCTGAAAAGTTTTCTGCTCCACATTACTGCTCCACATTGTTGAGAACTCTTGTGCTTTGCATGGACATGAAACACATGGATAGTGGCTCTGGAGTGATGCAGTTTCCTTTTCTCAATCTATGGGGCTTGTATGTTTTGGTTCCCAAAGCACCTAGAATTCTAAGTTGCAAACATTTTTATTTATTACCTGATTATATCAGGCCCTCAAGGTCTGAGCCAGCAGAAATTCTTACTGGCCCTTTCTTGATGGCAGTTGTTTAACCTAACCCTGGTTTGGGAAAGGTTTTGAATCTGAGAGCAAAACTGGTATGTTTACCTAAAGATGCTTACAGCCAATAAAAAATCATTATAGATTAACAACAAAGTTGCAAAGCAACAACACTGTCTTTCAAATGGATGCAAATATGTATTTGATCAACACAGTTATAGGTGGCAGTTTAGAATTTGATTTCATATGGTTGTATCCAATAGTAGCCTTGCTGTATTGAAAAGTGTTTCTGCTCTCAAGATAGGGAACATACCTTTCACTGATCCCACTACCTTCTGCAGACCTTAGTACCATATTTCATAGAAGGGCTGGTTAAATAACTAGATTTAAACTGGCTAAACTTAAAGGTGCAAATATAATCCTCTTTAATTTATTGATCACCTTCTTAAAAACCATCTCAAGGTGATGTATAATTAAAACAAGTTATAACACAAAAATAGCAGATTCATTTAAAACAAAAACGAAATCAAGCAAAGTAGACAGTTATGATATAGACCAGTTAATGCTGCTGGTAAAACCTGTTGGTACAAACATGTCACTTATTTCAGGAAAGTACAGATAGAGAGGGTGCCTGTTGTATCTTGACAGGAATTCTATTCCACAGAGTGGGGACAGCCACACACTGCTCCGAGTTACTGCAGAGTGGGCTTCTGAGATCTTTGGAACTTGCAGGAGAAACTTAACTACAGGCATTTTCAGCTAGCCAAATAGCAGTTAGAAAGACAGTGACCCTGCTACCAGATCTAGCTTTGTGACTTTAAGCCCACAAAATGCAGTGCTGCAACCTTTCATCAACTGAAGAAGCTTCATAATTCTATAATGAGAATTTCAGTTCCTAAAGATTAGTTGGCTTATGTAAACAGATTTTTCGAAAACTATTTCTTTATTACCAAAAGTTATTAAGAAAAACTGCAGGTGTCAGGTGATAAATGTACATATCA